TTGCAGAGCAAGCATGGGGAAATGAGTGAACAGAGGTCTTAAATTACGTAGGAAGTTGACTAACACTTCTAATCTTCACTCAGAAATTGTTTTAAATAGACCTTCCCCCCTACAAAAGTGGGTAGCCAGCAGGAGAGGACCTGGTTAACTGGGCAGGTTCACCAGTGTAAGAAATTCCTTGCTAAGGATGCTGCACTCTCTTTAATTACAGCTGTTTCCATTGGAAACACCTTTTAATGTTTTCTTACTAAGGTGTTTGTGTGACTCTTTCTAGCAGAGTATCTTAGCACTTGCCCTTATGAAGATGTTTTGCCCACTTGCTTATGTGGGCAAAAGGAATACAAAACCAAAAGGAATTTGACTCTATTCACCTGAAAGGGAGAGTTTCCAAAAGCACAGTTCAGCCAATGAGTATAAATTCAAATGTTCTGCTCTTAAACATTGGTTCTCTGTTCTGTGTAGAGGTGAAGGGTTACAACAAAATGTGTTTCATGGGAGATCTAATGCGCTCTTATTCCCCTTTCCCTCCAGTGTTTGTGCCTTTCCCCAACATACGAGCTGGCACTTCAAACAGGAAAAGTGATTGAACAGATGGGAAAGTTTTATCCAGAGCTGAAACTTGCATATGCTGTCCGAGGCAATAAATGTGAGTGTGGGAGAAAATGCCCCCAGCAGATTTCACTTGTACTGTATAGTTATTGGACTCAATGCATTAATTTTGCTTAAAACTTGCAAACAATGACACTGTAGCCAATGTAACAATGCTGCTGTAGCCCAGCTGACCTAGAATCAAATACTTTAACATCTAAGTGCTACAGAGAACACTAGTTGGTGTTACAGGAGTTAATTTTCAAAAGCACTCAATGGGGGGGGATGGAGTAGGGCAGAAGCACAACTTGTGTATTAAGGATTTTCTTGAATTTCTTCTTCCAGTGCTTCAATTACAGTTAGCTAAATATCAGTAGCTGCTGAGAAGTATTCTTGGCGACCTTTTGTCCAAAAGGATTTTTTATATTGTAGGATACCTATGCAGTCTGCATATTTACAGATAGTCGTATTTGAGGTTACACAGACTGTATAAATTGTCACATTTAAGCCAGGCAGAAATGGCATGTCTTGTGTGCTGCAAAAAAGCTATGGATACTAGAGAAATTACCTCCTCTACAAGGGAGAAACAGCATTGGGCTCTGCAGACCTGACCTAAAAAGGTTATAATGATACCTGCTGTTCTGTCCATACTGACTCTGTTTGAAAAAATCAGTCCCAGAGTAGAGAAGGAACCTGAAGCAAGAGGATGCATGGATTTTTATCTTCTTATGGCAAAGTAAAAAAGAGAGGTTGGGCTGCTGGGGTATTTGTTTTTTCCTCGGTGATGTCAGTAAAACCTTTCTGTCTCTTAACAGTGGAGAGAGGTCAGAAGATCTCTGAGCAGATTGTAATTGGCACTCCTGGCACTGTCCTGGACTGGTGCTCCAAGCTGAAATTCATAGACCCCAAGAAGATCAAAGTGTTTGTTTTAGATGAAGCAGATGTGATGATAGCAACCCAGGGTCATCAAGATCAGAGCATTCGCATTCAGAGGTAAGGACCATCTGGTCTATCTGTTGAAGGGGGGTGTGTGGAATTGTAGCTTTCCTCCATCAAAGCCAGTTAGATTTCTCAGTGGTCTCTTTAATGTCCCACTACCTCTCATTGAAAGAAGGGCTCTCCCCCAAATACGAGAAGATTCTCTGTTGGCTCCTTAACCAATAAGGTCAACAGCTTCCAAAGAAATACACTTTAGGCAGTTAATAGAACCAGAATTTCAGTGGGAGATAGGCTTTTAATCTTCTCAAGGAACAAGGGCTGTCTTCACTGAGTGGGCCTCCCTGATTTTAAATACCCAATCCGTCCAGACACCACCAGTCAATAGAACCAGGAAGATAAAATATTTCAAACTTAACATTAGACAAAAGTAATGCACTTAAGTTGATTCCAAAAGATTTGTGGGCAGCTGAGATTTGCTCTGCCCTTAACAGAAGTTCTAGTAGAGTGATGAGGGTTAATGGCACTCACTTGCCTTGTGCTTTATTGTGCAGAATGCTCCCCAGAGATTGCCAGATGCTTCTATTTTCCGCCACTTTTGAAGATTCAGTGTGGAAATTTGCTCAGAAAGTTGTTCCTGACCCAAACATCATCAAACTGAAGCGAGAGGAGGAGACGCTGGACACCATTAAGCAATACTACGTTATGTGTAACAACCGAGATGAGAAGTTCCAGGCTCTCTGTAATATCTATGGAGCCATCACCATTGCGCAGGCCATGATTTTCTGTCACGTGAGTTACCCTCGGAAATGGAACCACCGTGGGTGCGCTCTAAATGGAAGCTCTAGTCAGAACAGGCCAACACCAAAGTGGTGTTTACAAATGCTAAGAACCTTAGCCACAATAGTATATGTTCCTTGCAACATGATTGAGGGGATGGTCTGTCTTTGTAAGGAACAAGAAAATCTTTCCTGTAAAGAGGCCTTTTTCCATTTCATTTTCTAAAGCTGCCTTCGCTCTAGAAGACCTGAATTGCTCTTGCTTTGCATTTCAGACTCGTAAAACAGCTGCCTGGCTGGCAGCAGAGCTGTCAAAAGAAGGTCACCAGGTGGCATTGCTGAGCGGCGAGATGATGGTGGAACAAAGAGCCGCAGTTATAGAACGTTTCCGAGAGGGCAAAGAGAAAGTGCTGGTGACAACAAACGTCTGTGCCAGAGGTAAGATGCAGTGATGCTGTGTTGGAAGCAGGCAGCCTACGCTGGAGATGGAACAGTACTGTTCTCTGTAGAGGAGGATTTGTAAGAGGCTTTGTGTTACACTGCACAAATTGGGGTCCTTAACCCTGTCCCAGGAAAGACATTCTCTTTCACTGCTTCTGGACTTTTGTTTCCACTTCCAGCTATTACATTTCTCAAGAATACTTAGCAGCTATTGGCAAAGGTGCCCTGCAGTCGGGCACAGATTGCAAGTCTTGCCCTCCTCCATCTCTCACATCTTTCTAACCTTTTGGCACGGAGAGATCGTAGAAAATTAGGGTTAAAAGGGACCCGAGGAAGTCATCTAGTCCATCCCCCTGCTCGAAGCAGGACCATCTCCAACTAGATCATCCCAGTCAAGGCTTTATCTAGTCGAGTCTTAATCTCCAAGCACAGAGATTCCCCCACCTCTCTGGGTGACCTGTTCAGTGTTTTACTGCCTTCCTTGTAAGAGAGCTTTTCCTAATATTTAACTAACTCAACTTCCCTTGCTCATGTGACTGCATCCTGTCTCATATGTTGCCAAATGAATGTGTCCTGGATTCTCATAATAAAAGAGTCATTGTCTGCAAAAGTAACTCCCTGGTAATAGTCTGTGCTGTGAATAAGACGTTGATACATGAGAAGTTTTGTGGTCTTTGAAGCCTTTTAGGGAAGTGGGAGGGACAGTTTAGCTCATTTGCCGGTTACTGGAATGTAGTAGTCTTTTCTGTCACCAGGGCTACATACTACTTGTTCAAGAATGTGTTAAAAGATTGGGTAACTGGTTGGTTCTTTTCATCAGTTGAAAACTAAATTCAAAATATGGTATAGAAAGCATGTGTTTCCAGTTGCCCTTACACATTCTCCTGAACCATCTAGCTTCAACTTGTGGCATCTCTGCAGACTTCTTGACCAAGGAGGTTGTTAACTTTTCATGGTACAGCTCTATGAAAACTGCTAAAACCAAAACCACTGTGGATTCTGCAATTCATACAATACCACGCCAAGGCTGTTCCTAGATTAACTGTGGACTTGTGCTTTCCTCCCTCAGGGATTGATGTGGAACAAGTGTCTGTTGTTATCAACTTTGATCTTCCTGTGGATAAAGATGGAAACCCAGATAATGAGACGTATCTGCATCGGATTGGTCGTACAGGTCGTTTTGGCAAACGAGGACTCGCTATTAACATGGTAGACAGCAAGCACAGCATGAATATCCTCAACAGGATCCAAGAACATTTCAGTATGTCCCTTCAAGCTTCCTTTTTTCCTGTAGAGTTAGAGAAGCAGATCATTGATTCTATAGAATTTTGCCCAGTTGTGCATCAAGCAGCTCTGACTTTCATACAGGTTTTCTAGGCCCTTTGGGACCTGATTTGATTTAAACAGTTTTATTTTACTGCAGTCAGTCTATCAATAATACAGCTGCTCTTTGTATTACAGTCTTCCAAAGGTACGGTTATCTGTTCTGCTGTTCTTCACCCAGTCATTTATACCCATTCACATGAGCAGTAAGCTCTTACTTCAAAGTCAGTTGCACAAAGCAGTGGAATATTGTTTAATGAGCAGATGTTATAGCCCATTTTGATAGATCTGAATGTCTGTTCTGAAAGAGTGAAATTTGTAATGCGTGGTTAGAAATGCCTGTCCATGGCCTGTCGCATCAGTCCAACTCTCATTTGCTAGCTGGCATCATTAAAGATGATATTCCACAAATGATAATGTTTGAATGCCACACAGCTTGAGAGATTTATTTTTCCCCTGCCCAGAAATTGCTTCAGTTTTATTTATGATACTTGAATGACTCGTCAATTGATTTTTATCTTTAAGCCTTGATTCAAAACTTCATTTCTCAGGAACAATAAATGGGACCTATTTTCCAGTTTCAGGAAAGACACCTTCTCATCTTCTACTCTTTCATTGTGTTAAGGCTGCATACAGTCTGATTTACCTTCCAATCTTCTTTTGCAGACAAAAAGATAGAAAAATTGGATACTGACGACTTGGATGAAATAGAGAAAATAGCCAACTGAAACGCAGCTGTTGGAACTGGTATACACTCTGCTGTGGTAGCTCTCCCACTAAAATTGGATCAGCGTTCAGATTGGCACACCTTTCGGCCAGTCACGAAAAGGACTCTTAAGATATGAATACACAGAAATTACCTCATTTTAACAATTGCAGTTGGACTTAAAATTGTGCAACTATGGGAAGGAAGAGGAAATGTTTACAGAAGCTTTTAACATTTCTTAGTTTAGCCTTAAAATGGGAAGATGTTTTAAATTCTATGAAGTACACTTGCCAAAAAGTGACCAATAAGTAAATAACTAGAAAGAATAAAATAAAAATAAACTTTATCAATGTTAATTGGGATATAACTTTTATAACATGACTAAAAATGATCTATTAAAACTCAACAGCCAAATATATGTGGACATTGACTAAAAAAGGCAGCTGGTTTTTTTGTTTTTAGTCTCAAAATGAAACTTGTACGAGATAAGATTTCTTTTTTTTCTTTTCTTGGCACTTACGATTTTTATCTGGCTTCCAGATGGAGTTGCCTGCTTTTCCTTAAGTAGATTGTCCAAAGGATATCTTCATTAGTTCATACTCTGAAACACTGGTGCCGTGTTGCTTTTGCTGGGCAGTATTTTGTTTTACTTTGTTTCAGAATGGCCACAATTCATAAAGCAGTGCAGTGATGAAAGTGCTAATTAACGATTCTAGAAGTTCAAACAATGCTTTTAACCTTGCCAAACCTAATTTGGGTTCAGGTGGGGATCAGTGGGGAGGGAGGGATCAGCAGTGTAAAGGAACCTGTACAAATGAATTTCCCAAATAAATTCACCCCTACAATTGTCAGTGTCTTTTGATAGGGGAATGGAAGTTACAGTTACCATCAGGCAGGTGGTGCCAGTTTTAAAATGCTGGTGTTGTCCAGACAGCTCCCCGTGAGGTCACATGGAGCTGTTGGACTTTACCAATCAATAATGCAAACAGAAATATTTATCTGGTGAAAAATCATGACAGCTTGTATTGACCAAAAATACCCTTATATAGAACACCAAATTTGCCTGTTATAGTATGTTTCAGTATCATAGTCTTGAGTTAAACCGCTCAGCCAAAATACTCATGGGAAGCACTCCACTTTCATTGTGCTTTGTATTTAATAAAAAAAAAAGAAAGACAGACATGTCATCAGTCCCTACAAACCTTGCCCCTGAGGTGATCCTTACCAGAGATGGTTTTATTGAGAACTTCTATATTTGGGCTTTCAGTTGTGTTTGGGACCACTTACTGTGCACAAATGAAAATGTGAGTTTTTGTTTCCCCCTCCCCCCCCCCAAGTTTCCCAGAGAAATAGGCTCCTAAGCGTTAACTATGTGGTGCACAGTTCTTTTGGGAAAAATGGGACCTGCACAAGCAGCCATCGTACTGCTACTCAGTACAGAAATCGCTTCAAAAAGAAATGTATAAATTGTAAATTTAGCTCTGAATTTTCATTGCAATTTTGGCCATCATATTCTGTTCAAAGACAGGAACATGGATCCTTTTACCAAGTAAAAAAAGGCTCATTTAAAATGTACCTAAAATTTTAGGAAATTGTGCACCCTTTTATCAATTTGTATAAAGGCTTTAGTGAAAAAAAAATGTTAAAATCTAAACTTTTTGTATTCTGGGGTGTATCTATTTTTATTCTGTTGGAAACCTATTTAAAGTGGCAGGTGAGTGAGTGCTTGCGTGTCGAGTGGAAGACTTGTTCGATCACCTACTTTAATAATACAGCTGAATGACCTTTTGACAGCAGTACATTGGGTTGAACTGTCATGAACGCTGCTGCTGGTCCTGTGTGCTGTTTCTAATGTACTTTTAATTGGAATAAAGAGCACATACAGAACTATGCCTCAGCTACTCTTTTCCTCTACTCTCCATGTGGTGTTAAACGTCTTGTGTAAGGGGCCTGAGGCAGAAGTTTAGACAGGTTTTCTTCTGAAATGCATGCCCAGTCAGGACCCAAGATTGCAATGTAAAAAGTGTTGCTGCATTTCTTACACATGGACATCTCCCTGTACTGAATGCATCCTACTAGTTATTTACTATGAAACTAGATTGGATGACAAACAAAATCAGCTTGATTTTATTCCTCACTAATATCTACTGGTACCAAAACTCTTCCTGCCTCAAAGTCTTAGCAATAACCGCACATCAAAAACTCAACACTCCACCCCATTGCTGGGCTAACATAGTTACGATATACCATTTGCTATATCATATGGCAGAGGGGAATGATATGGTTAGCATCAGGTCTGGCCATCTTTTGCCTCCTCAACCTGAGCCCCTTCCACTTAGGCTGTCTGGCTCCTGGGAGGTTTGAGCCCCCTCCATTTCCAATCCAGCTGCCCATCAGCCAACTCTGGGCACTGCACCAGGCCTGGCTCCAGCCTGAATGTGGTCCCAGAGGCAGCCAACAGTCTGCTAATTGTCTAGCAACCAGCTAACAACTTGCCAGGGCAGGGAATCATGACCCCAGGCTCCCCCTGCACTGGCAAGTAGGTCACAATTGGGAACTGATCCACAATCCCAAAATCATGCATCAGGCCATAGCAGAAGGCACAATCATTAGGATCAAGGAATCTGATCCCATTTTGCCTTTAAATGAATGTCAGTGGCCTTAGGAATCAATTGGTAGTTGGCCTATGGGGAGGTGACCTTTTAAGCTTTGTCTCAAAACTTGTGTCATTCATGACTGGGGCTATAGCAAGACACCTTACCTACTCTGCCTTCAGTGACTGCATCTATCAAAGGATAAATCTGGAACAAATTAGATGCAAAGCAAAAATTTATGTAGGATTTGTGAGACGCCCGCTCCAGAAGCTCAATCTATTTTGCTACCAAAAAGGAGCTGAAGAGATCAGTCTGCGTAAGTATCAATATAGGAATGACTTCAATAACAAGCTCATCAATGTAAAAAGATCTAATAATTGAAGGCCAGAGCTAAAAATATGCAGACTGAGAAAAAGGCACAAAGTTTTAGGAATAAAGGTAACAACTATTGTAACAGCTTAGTGAGGGTTGGTGTAGATTCCCAGTACTACCGACGTTTAAATCAAGATAGGATGTTTTTCTGAAAGCTATACTCTAGTTCAAATTAATTAATTCAGGGAAGTGTTAGGTCACAGTATAAGATCACAATGGTCCCATCTGGCTTTATATTACACCTCTCCACCCCTTGGGAAGAGATAGCATTGCTTTATGATCTCTGTTACCAGTCACTTTGGCTGTGTCACTGGGTTTTATTTTCTCCTTCACGCTTCTTTAATCACTGGATCAAATACCAGCTTTTGTCCTGTTCTTCAAAATTTAGCGTTTGTCATTCATCTGGTCTTTCACACTGAAATATCAAGTCCTATATTTATTAACTGTAATTGCAGAGCAGTATCTATTTCCTGGCTACCACACATGCCAACAGCTTTACCTTGGTTTCTCTTCCTGAGGACTGGGGCACAAATGTTATGGAACCAGTTGCCAGACTCCCTGAATAAGGAGAGGTCCAAGCAGAACTGTGGAAGCCACACTTGGCCCTCTAAAGCAGCTAATTAACACTCACTGACATTCTATAAGGCAGTAATTGAGTTTGCTGTTAAAAGTATGAAGAAATGCAGCTAAGTCAAATGTCTACTTTACGCAATCCATTCATTCAAGTCCAAGCTGCAGCCAGAAAATCTTTATTGGTCCTAACATTACACACAGTTAAAGCAGTTTATTTAAAAATCTTTAAACATAACATACACACATCACAAATGATAAATCAAGTGACAGTGCTCATTTCATAAGCCTGATTTACCACCATTTCCTCCTGCATGTCATGTGACTAGCTGAGCAGGTGCTTTGGGGACAGAAAGGGTTGACCACTGTAACATCTGTACTGACCACCCTAACAATGTCTGTGACAAGCTGCCATCCTCTTTTTTTATGGCAAAGCCCTCGAAGACACTTATCTCAATAGCTGCAATTACAACAGGTGATTCTCTAATCTTAGCAAAGATGTGAAGCATGACTGAGCAGCTGCATTGAAGTGGAACGGTTGGAAAACCGTCAGGGCTCCCTGTGGAGGAGGAAGTAGTTGTACATTAACTGTATAACATTAACTGACCTTTGGTCACATTTCACTACTAAGTATTTAAAAAGAAGAACCTCACTCTGCAGGGCAGGGAATCACTGGTTATAGGTGCATATTTATTAAAAGTGAATGGAACCCTTCCAGTGAAAGATGCCTCCATTCTTTCTTACTGGTAGCAGGTTCATATATTTGGTGCACTGGCCAACAATACTATATATAAACTCAGCTCTGCCACTTAAGCAGTCATTTCTTGCCAACAGCCAACAAAAAGTTGCCAACAGGCAACAAGAAGTTTGGCTTGTATTCTTCAATATAGAAAGTGGATCACACAGATCGTTCTCTCCTTGCTGCTAGGACATGTTCCATCAGATTCCCAAAAGGATTGCTAAATCGTGAGCTGTAAGTTCTGATAATTGCATTCTCTGTAAGAATGCGAATATGAATCTATCAGGCTATTCCTCATACCAAATTCAAAATATCATCGCTTGCAGCATCAGCTAGTGCTTGCATTTCAGCAGAAATACCATTCTGTTTCATAGAGCTTAATTACCAGTCCAGACATTTTTGTTTTGGACTGAATAATTCAGCATGTGAGATCACAGCAGAAGCAAGTTTTCTAGAACCTTTTTTTTTTTTTTTT